TCTAGTTAGCAGTCAAGTGCCTTAGGCACTAGGTAGTCTTCAAATATTTACTAACCTATTTCACTTGACAAAATAAAATTATACCCTGGATCAAAATGTATCTGGAAACAAAACATATAATTTTTTTATTATTCTTTGTGATATAATAGAACTTTTTTTCTGATTCAATAGTGCCTCCAAGCATTGGATTTCTTGCACTCAAACCAAGTGATCCATAGAGACATAAAGAGTGACAATATTCTCCTCGGGATGGATGGCTCTGTAAAATTGAGTAGGTATTTTGGTCCAGATGGTGTTTAAGAGAATAGCAGGGAATTTCTTCTCTTTTGCTGTCTATCTTGAGAAGATAAAGGCTATTGAAAGTGAATTATTTGAAAGCAGTAAACCCTATTGGAAGTAAAGAATTTTTCTAACACTGTGTTCCTGTAGATCATGACCAGAGTTTTGGGATTTAATATTTCAGAATTTCTAGAGACTTTCCTTGGCTCAGTGACAGATGTCTAGTTAGAAAAACGGAAAGATTCTGTAAGATTACCAGAACAGTGAGGTCCGGAACAGTGATACCACATCAGCCAGTATTTCAGACCCTTTTAAAACCAGGACCAGCTGACACATTAGGTAACAACAGGATGGGATCTGGGCAGTTATGGAAGCTCAGTAATCTGACAGAGGAAGGTACAGCCCTATCTGAAAGGGACCTAGTGTAGAAGGAAAATAATGTGAGCTGATTCTAACCGCCTTCTCTTCTCTGCAGCTGATTTTGGGTTCTGTGCCCAGATTACACCTGAGCAAAGTAAACGAAGCACGATGGTGGGAACTCCCTATTGGATGGCACCTGAGGTGGTAACTAGAAAAGCTTATGGTCCGAAAGTTGATATCTGGTCTCTGGGGATTATGGCGATCGAGATGGTAGAAGGCGAACCCCCTTACCTTAACGAAAATCCACTCAGGGTAAGTCAGAAAAGATTTCTGGTACCCTACCCCCCAGAAAAAGGGAAAGACTAAATGTCATCCCTTACCTCCACCCAAAGTGACCAAGATGGGCTCTTTCCTGGAACAGATGACATGGGTGCACAAACTTACAATTTTCAAAATTACCATGAGTTATTTTTGGTTTGTGCTAAGATATTGCAACACTTTTCAGAAGTGCTTTGTTATCAGTATTTCTAATGACAGGGGTCTTTAAAATTCTTGAGGTTAGCATTCTGGTGTAAAAACTGTGTGGCTTTTTTGGTAAAGCAAGAAGTGGGAAGAAAGGAATATTTTTTATCACATGCCATGGTTAAATGATCTTTCTAGGAAACACTTACTTGATAATTACTTTTTAAAAGTAAATAAATGCATTGCCACTGCTATAATTTTCAAAACTAGATTTTGTTTCATTGTCGCTAATGATTTATTGAGCAGCAACAGCTTGCTGGGTATTGAATGGAACACAGAGATAAACATAGCACCAGCCTGGTGGGATCACAAATTTAATTAGACTGTCAAGTAGGAAAAAATGAAATAGTTCGGGTTGGGTAGGTCAGTTTGCTACTGCTGAATCAGAAGTTTGATCTTCACATGGTTCAGTTACCTCCACAAAGGGAAAAGCTCCATTTTGTAACATAACCCCTTCTATTCAGAAATAGGCTGTTGATCATGAAGGGGAGAAGGCAGAGGAGTAGGAACGAAATGCTTGCTTGCTCCAGTGCAGAAGTAAGTTAGCAGCTGTTTTATTGCCCAGACCCTAAGGGTAGGCCAGAAGCTGTGTAGTTGTATATATAAAGGGCATCATACCGATGAAAAGCAAAAACATGCAGACTCAAATTCTCCTCTCAGAAAGCCATGTACATTGCCAGTGCCCAAAGTGTCTTACCTATTGTTTGTATCATTACTACCAAGTCTAAAAATGAATTTTATCCTTGGTGTTCAGAAACCCTTGTCCTGAGTAAATGGCTAGTGTTAAAAGGTTAAACTCGTACATCCATATTCAACTCAAATATATGTGACTTTCTGTACATGTACAGAAACCTGCAAATGGATTGCTTAGTTGTTTTTGCAGTTGAATATTCTCTAAGGGGAAGCCGCAGTTCCTATGCATGGAATGGGACTCCCTCCTCCTGACTTCTCTCTAGTGCTTGGCCTCTCATCCTGGTTCCTGCTCTGCTTAGAAAAACAGATAGGAGTGGAAGCCCTACTGAATGCCCTCAGCTATTGCATTGGTCTCATGAGACAATCTGGAAATGAGACGTACACACTGATTAGCTGCCTACGGGGCTGAGTGGAAAAGCAGAGGCGTTTCCCCACCACTTGGGGGTCAGCCCTTCATGAATTTAATCAGTCCCACCCCTGATCTATGGACCAGCACATCAAGATAATTACATGGGTTTTCCTTATTGTTTAACTACCTTTGCCCATTAAGAAATAACGGTGAAAGAGCACATCACCCCTCTTTTTTCCATGGCTTTCCCTCTCTAAATCTTTGGAGTTCAGAGGCACTAAATGGATTATGACTGTTTTGCTTTTTGTCTTCTAATGAGTAATTTACAGCCTGCAGAATTTAAGGATTAAATATATGACTCTGCAAAGTAACTGGTTTCAGTCATGCATTTATTACCTTCTTCAGTTCCCCAGTTACAAGTGTTTGCTCTTTAGCTATGCTGTTAATTGATAGGAAAAAAAAAAAAGTTTTACTTTTCATAGGCATCTTCTAGTCTGGAATTAGGACTCAAAATTAACAGCTTGTGTCTTAGAATTCACAGGCTTGTATCTAAACGCGTACTTGCGGAGCAACAAACCACCATTAAGGCTGTAACAAAAAGATCTGTCAAAAAGACCACCCTGTGAATTCCATTGATAAGGATTTACTCTCACTTTGCTCATTACTCTTCCGGTGTGATCATGTTTACATCTCCATGTCAGTTTTTTTTTTTTTAATGTCTTTGTTGTGTCCTTTAAAACTGAGCAAACCTTCTATGAATACTACAGATGCCTATGAACATATTCTTGATGCAGGGAATTAGCTACATGTCCCTCCTAGTTCTAAAGTGGATGGGATCTTTTAAAATGTAAAATTGCTCTGTACTAATTAACCTAATTTACTCATAAAATGCCTTTTAAAGGTCAGAGAGTTATTAACCATCCTGATGTTATGAGGTTAGTACCATTCCAGAGACAGAGAAGAGACAAACTTC